TGTCCTCTTTCATCTTTTCTACTTCTTGCCACCCTATGTGGTTACCCTCCAAGGTAAGATAACTCTCATCAAGGAGGAGTTTGGTCGCCACGCAAGCCTGAAAAGGAAGAAGAAATTAATAAAATAATAAAGGGGAAAATCCTTTGAGTAAAGAAAGAAAGGCAAACTATCAAGACCTTGGTAACATAGCTGCAGGAGCGACCAAGATGCTCGTGATAAGGGGTGTCTCATAAGTCTATGGTGAGGTGGCCTCCTTGGCTGTTGAGGCCCCAACACCTATGTGTTTTGTGAGTCCGTCAATTCTCATGTCGAGCGTAGCCCAAGCTACCTTATCTACTTGCCCTTTGCCACGTCATAGAGGCGAGCTAGACAAACTTCCAATGAGGATAATGACTTCACTCCTTGGAATGGACTTCTTTTTTGCGAAACCTTTGGCCGAGGTATCCTTTGGGCCACCAGCTTGTCCGACGACCTTCTTGCCCAAGCCTCCCTAATGCTCGGTGATCTTTTGCTTTCTTGAGCTTCCCTGCTGCTTGGTCAACTTTTTCTTGCCTAAGCCCTCCTATTGCCTAAGCATCTTCTTCTTGCCATATCCCTCTTGTTGCTCGAACATTTTTTTCTTCCCTGAGCCTTTAGCTTGCTTAGAGATTTTCTTTGTTGAGCCCTTTGGGGGCTCGGGGACACTCTTCTGCTCGATTGCCTTGGAAGTAGTCATGGGCTTTTTTGCACTTGGGCCTTCCCCAAGTTTGCCACTACTGTACTTGAGGGCCAAGCGCAAGGAGCCTTGCCCGACTGCCTTGGCAGTGTCTGTGGGCTGTTTCTTCGTTAGGAAAATTGGCGCCTTTTTGGTAGCTCTGTGGGCTGGTGCTTTTTTCTTCAAGCCCTTTGGTTTTTCGGCCCACATATCTACAAAGAAAAAGAAAACAAGTTGTTAGCGACCTAATGAAGCAAGATTATAAACAACGAGCTATCAAGCACTTACCTTTTTAAAAAATGATGCAAAACTTGGCTTAGTTGACGTAGAAGCTATACGCTTTAAATCGAGAAAGTGTGATGAGCTGGATAACGTTATGCTCACTGTTAGGGAGATTGCTAAGACGCTGAAGCCACTCTAAGCTCGCTTCAAGGAGGAAGTTCTACTTGACGTTTACTGCAAAACAAAAGGAATATAAAGTTAGTTCGCTTGCTGAACTAGTAAATATTCTTTAGTCACATGAAGAGCGGAGTCTTACTAGCTTTCAACGCGAAAGTACCGGTCTCCCCAAACTTATTGAAAATATATTATGAGTCCCAATTTGGAATTTTCTTTGGGATTTCGGCTAAACCGTTACAATGTACTTTCCTTGCCTTTAAGAGATAGTACATTTGGTCCTAACTCTTCTTCAGTCTATACAAGTGGACGAGCTCCTCTACAAATAGCTCGCCCATATTAGCTATCATGTACGCTATGTAAATGCCTACTATTATTATATATAAGTTCCCCGTTAATTGAAGGGAAGCAATGCCAAACCTATTTAGGACATTGGTTATGAAAAAATGAGGGGGAACAAACATCCCACACCTCAAGAGGGTATCTAAAATCGGTCCAACTTTTGGGGGATTTTTTCTTGAGATTTCTCTCGAAGCCCTCAAAGGACGTTGAGTTGTATAAACATTTGTTATGCATTTAATATCTTCGGCCCCAATCAAGGAACTTGGTTCCTTCCGAGGCCTATGTACCAGAGACTTATTTGGTGGATGGGTCTTCGCGGAAGCGTGATCTAAAGAGCTCGCAGCGTTGCTGTCCAAGCTCCTTAATATGAAATCCTTAGAAACCTCTCGGACTACTTCCCCACAAATAGCCTAGGTCATAGGGAATCGAACAATCGATCTAAGCTATAAGTGCTAGAAGAAGACATGATGGAAGTTCGCCTCTGGGTACCTGAAATGAAAGCGACCAAGTGTTAGAGCTTGAAAATTCAATGATCAATCCACACTTTGCTTTCAGTTCAGGCACCCAGGGTAGCTTGCATCGATCAACAGATGCAAGCAAGCTACCAGAATTTTGGCAGCCACCTCCTTAAACCTTTCTAAAACCCAAAACCGACGGAAATACTCAAAAACCCCAAAAAAATGCTAATGTGGCCACAACAATGGCCACCCTCAACGAAAAAGAATTTTAAAAAGAGTAAGAGAGAAGAAAAGAGCCTTATCGGAGCGTAGAAGTGGTGGGAGTTCGTCGTGAAATTGAGAGAACAATGACGGAGCAAAAGCAACAAATAAAGCTCTGAAAATATTTCAAGTGTATGTTTTGATGAAGAATGTCTGCTTTTATAATAGTGAGCATGGGAGATGAAGAGGCCGGATTCGACCATAACTGTTGATCTACAACAAATCTCAGGCCCCCTTCGTCGAGCAATCTTGATCGTTCTACGTGGCCACGTGTTGATCATCCACAAGGGAGGATCAACCTTTAGAGTACTACAATCATAACTGTCGTCATATGTTGCCTCAATTTTGAGCGTGGACAACTATAAACGCCCGTGGCTGACGAAAAGTAACTGCAAAAGCTAACTACATTTAATGCTACATGACTGTGTAGAAATTACTTGCATGCCCCTCGATTCAAATTCCAAGTTTATCGAGAATGTCACAACAAAGAAAAGACCAAGTCTTGTTCAACTCGACAAAAATGAAGTTCGACTCAGGAAGCTTGACAGAATATGCATTTAACACACAACCTATAAAGTTCAAGCTTGGCATGAAATCGAGCAATTAGTCTTCGAAGCTCGAAACACTATAGGCAGATGTTGTGTGTGATTTTTCCACCAAGCTCGAAGAAGTCAGAGTTCTATGAGGTTATAGTACGACCCAAAATCAGTTCGGCTCAAACAATTGTCCAACCCGGCGTAAGCTCGTCAAGAAATAACTAGACCTAGCATAAGCTAGTCGTCACCAATCTCGATAGTTGTTCAAGAATATCACAAATAAGCTCAGATCCCGAATATTTTGGAAGGGATCAGATCAACAGCAATAATGATGCGATCTTAGCACTCAATTGCGAGAATATCATAATTGCATTTCAATCTTAATTGTAATTCCTTTAATTTCGCTCATTCTTTTGTAAAAAACTTGTATATAAAACCATTCCAACGATGGAAAACGGGTTAGCAAATTATTCTAAGAATTATACTATTTTCTTGTCAGCTCTTTAAGCAAATAAGAAAAAAAGTGGATGTAGGCTCAAGATCTAAACTTGCCAAACTACTTTAAAAATCCTTTGTGTTCTCTACATTATTATGCATTTTTTTTTATATTTAATTGCTGGTTACCTTTAATCATGCACACACTTGTATCGATTCCACCAAGGTCAATCAGATCACTTTGGTTAGTGTAAATTTTGCATCAACAATAATAAATGAAGGAGAGCAAAGTTGCGTTAAGTTATTTAAATTAGTGCACAAGCACAACTTTAGTAGGCACTTCAAATGCCAATCCCTCTTTTTAGTCTTGTTTTCTACAAAAGGAGTTAATTGTTTTCATCTCATTGAAGGGAAAGTTACTAACACCCTCAAATATCCTTAAATTGAAGCTTAGGGTCTGTTTGTTTTATTATTTGGATAGAATTTTTGAAAAAGTAAGAGTTGAGTGGTTATTACGAGGTAGGATTTATAAATTAACAAAAACATCCATATCCACCCATTAAATGCTAGCAATTGGCCACCACCACACGAGAGTGGCCAGAGTCGCCGTATCGGTGCACGACCAGCGGGATGTAGTCATTTGTGCGCCGATATGGCCTTTTCTGGCCAGATCCACAGTGGATCTGGTCTAAAAAGGCCAAATCTATGCCCAGATCTGGCCACTTGATGACGACCAAAGGTATGGTCATTGTTGATGACCAGCTACGGGCAAAGATTTGACTGTCAATGACCAAATCTTTGGCAGTAATTTTGGCCTTTTTTTTACTAGATCTACGGTAGATCTGGCTGGAAAAAGCTAGATCGGCGCACTACTGGCTAAATCTAGTTGGTTGTGCACCATTATACCAGATTCTGACCATCTTTCGACGGTGGTGTTCGGAATATGACAAATGTGGGTGGGTGAGGGTTTTTTTCTTCAATTTCTAAACCTTTTTTTGGGTGTTTAATTAAATTAATAAACTTAGAGGGTTTAAAATAATTGAATAAAATATAATATGATTTTCAGAATAGGGAAACAAGTGTGTATTTTGGGTTGGATAGGGATACGATAGTGCAAAAATAGTTAAATAAATAGGCCCTAGTTATTACAAAAATTTAGTAAGTGCTTCTCGATTAACCCCTTAACTGAATCTATTCCGGATCAATCTTTGGCTCTGATTCATGTCTCTTAGCTTCCCATGACTCTTAAAATCCAAGTGATTTGAAATGCTATGGCAGCTTTATCTACAACTCAATAAAATTGTTGAATTTGTTGCTAATTGGTTTGGTTTGGTTTGGGCCATTAAAGTTGCACATTTTAGTTTACCGTAGTGTAAACTACAATGTCATATATATTTGTTTTCAATGCATCAGTCCATATATATATATAGAGGAACAAAAAATTGTATGGACAATTATTAAGTTGGGTAAAGATATTTGTAAACTTTTAGTATAAGGAGAGTTTGTACAAACTAACATAATATATCATATAAGTATCACATAATAGGAGAGTTTACATAACATTAATATGATATTAAGTTATGTGGGTCTCAGAATTATATGACATACTTTATTATATATCGCATTAATTTCTACAAAATTAAGAGTTTGCAATAATAGGATTATCGTATTAAGTCGGTGTCACATGAACCTCCGGAAGGTCGGTTGGGCTTGGACCACACACCATCTGCATTATCTGCAGATAATTCAAAGATCCGAAATATTAAAATGATATAATTCCCGAATACCTCCAAAATGAATATTAAATTCATTTTATCTGCCCAAAAATTTAGATAGACAGAAGTCAAAAAACATCACTTTCTCAGCCACGAGAGACGACTCTTCTTTCAACTATAAATTAATCAATGATCCCTTGCTCTTGTAGCAAAATTTCATTCTCAACACAAACTTAGCTCTGTTTCACTGTCATGAAATGGAATTTTATGATCTGAAATCGATTGCAGTCTCCATAGTTTTGGTTACAGTTGTAACATGGGCATGGAGTGTGCTGAACGAGGTCTGGTTTAGGCCAAAGAAGCTGGAGAGGTATCTGAGACAACAAGGTCTTAAAGGCAGACCTTACAGGTTTATGTATGGAGACATTAAAGAGAACGCCATGATGTTAAAAGAAGCTAAATCCAAACCCCTCAGTATCTCAGATGACATTTCACCAGTCGTTCTTCCATTCCTGCATAAATTGGTCAAAGATTATGGTATGTAATCAATCCCCTTTTCATATAACTTCCTTTCATGTCTGCAAATTCCAAGATGTGTGAGTGAGATGCTGAGCACTAAACTTTTCTTTTTTCTCCTTTTAATTACTTTTTAAGGAAGCTCTAGATAAGGGAGCCTTATCTATAGGTAAATCTCATTAAGAATCAAGACTCAGCGCAATTAATCAAGAGAAAAAATAAGTCAACCAAGAGGTGAAACATCAAGAAATTAAGAACAGTATTAAGTGAAATGATAGGCAGGAATTTCACAACTATCTTTAAAAATGATCCGAGCAATGTTCGTAGGGGGAGCACCGGCAACACAGTTGCCTTCAGAAAAAAAAATGTGTAATTTTGAAATTAAATTGGATTGCTGTCAAGCAATTGTACCACATAATTAAGTGGAGTTTTTTTTTTTTTTTTCTTTTCAAATGATAGATGATGATGAAATTTACCAAGTTTCTTTACTGCAAACAGAATTTATTGTTTTCAATGGACAAAGTAATTATTATAATTATAAGTAGGAGAGATTGTTTTCCATATTTGAGATCTTAATTATGAGACTATCGTAATTGATTATGTTTGCTAACTTTAATGCAGGCCAGAATTCTTTTATGTGGTTTGGTCCAGTACCCAGAGTGACCATCATGGATCCTGATCAAATCAAAGAAATATTTACCAGGATCAATGAATTTCCGAAACCGAAGGCCATAAACCCTATTTCCAAGTTGCTGGCAACTGGACTTGCAAACTATGGTGGTGAGAAGTGGACTAAACATAGAAGGATTATCAACCCAGCATTCCATCTTGACAAGTTGAAGGTCAACTTTTTATTATTATTTTTTTAATTTTCTCATATTTCTAATGATATTGACAATTTGACTCTCGATGTATGATTGTTACAGCTGATGTTACCAGAATTCTACAAAGTATGCAGTGAGATGATTTGCAAATGGGAGAAGTTGGCGTCTAAAGAAGGATCATGTGAATTGGATGTATGGCCCTATCTTGTAAAATTGACTGGTGATGTGATTTCTCGAACAGCATTTGGAAGCAATTTTGAAGAAGGAAGGAGGATTTTCCAACTCCAAACAGAATTAGCTGATCTCACATTACAAGCTATTCAGTCTGCTTACATTCCAGGATCCAGGTTTGATGTTGGGAATGTAAAATTCTATAATCCTCTGATGTGTTTGTCACTGAGTGATAAAATTTTATTTTGTTTTATTTTTTTCCTCTCATATAGGTTTTTGCCTAGTGAGAGTAACAAGAGAATGAAGGAATTGGAGAAGGAAATACGCGCTTTACTGATGGGTATTATCAAGAACAGAGAGAAGGCAATGAAAGCAGGTGAAGCTACAAAGAATGATTTATTAGGCATACTTATGGAATCCAATATTACAGAAATCAGAGAAAATGGAAACAACAAAAATGTTGGAATGACTATCAATGATGTGATTGAAGAGTGCAAACTATTTTACTTTGCCGGGCAAGAGACCACCTCAGTTTTGCTCGTTTGGACTTTGGTTTTATTGAGTAAGCATCAAAATTGGCAAGCTGGTGCAAGGGAAGAGGTTTTGCGAGTCTTTGGCCATAACAAGCCTAACTATGATGAGTTGAATCACTTGAAAATTGTAAGTACCCGCAACATAGTGTCGGAAAATTCTCTTTCTTTTGTTTTGAAGAATTTGATTTTACCTAATAATTTTCAATGTTCAGGTGTCGATGATATTGTATGAGGTACTAAGGCTATATCCGTCAGTAGTTATGGCTCCTAGAGCTATTGACCGAGAAACAAAGCT